TTTATTATTTTAATATTCTCAACTGGATTCTCAATTTAGTATTCTCAAATGAATTTTAATGTTGATTTTCGATTAATGACATAGCTATACGTTAATATTTTGTACAAAAGAAAGGCCACAACAGAATCATGCATTCTTGTATTTTAATATGCATTATTCATAATTAATTTTAATCATCATGGTATTAAAGCGTGATTTTCACTAGCGACATAAGCATTAGGATAAAGGCAACAAAAACAAATAATTTTAAAATTCTTGTCCTCGTGCTTATGATTAGGTGCAAACAAGGGCATGCAAACAAATTAACATAAGTGCAAGCGCAAGTCAGTTTCTTTTGACCAATCAGAGGGGGCTACGTCATACCAGTAATAAAGATGGCGGATGACCAAAACAAATTTGTTTCGACCAAAAAACGCGGTGACTAAATTTTATGCGAAAAATATGCGAAATACTTGGGGCCTCAGAAGTAGGAACGTGTTTAGCGTCAATACAGGCAACTGTGGATCGTCTTCCAGATATGATAAGGGTCTGTTATTCGTACAGTTCTCAACGTCCAGCACGACGTCTTGTAATTTTAAGAAGGTCAGGTTCCCACCTCCACAGTCTTGCAAAAGGCGGCTTTGAAGACCCCGATGAGGCATTCAAACTGTCGCCCCACCAAGGTGTCTTAAGGCGGATTTCCACTTACAGCGAAATTGTTCGCCAGCAAAATATTTGCATATATTTTCTTTTGAATTGAGAACAGTCAAGTTGCACTAATTTATTTATGTTGTTAAAATTCAAAAGAAAATATGCAAATATTTCGCTAGCGAACGATTTCGCTGTAAGTGGAAATCCGCCTTTAGCGAGCTTAAAGTGCCAGCTTATCTCTCGGGTGCATAGGGTGGCATGGATTTTCTTGTCTTCACGGACCTTCCTAAGCCATGTTACTGCGGCTTTAAATGTTGTACCATTGTCAGAATACACCAGCATTGGTCTGCCACGACGAGCTACAAAATTACAAATCGCTTGAAGTACCTTAAAAACTCTTCCGTTTCGAGACTTTTCACAAGCTTCAAGTGGACGCCTCTTGTTAGCTGGACCCATAGCGAATAGGAACCGCGTAATCTACCCCTACAACGGCGTAAGGCGTACTCCCCGTCGTTCTGGTCACTGGGAATGCACCAGGAGGCGGGTCCTCCTCATGTTGCACCGTGCAAGGTAGCAATGTTCTCGCCTTCCTTGAAAGCAGTTCAATATATCAGAAAGAAACAAAAAATAGAGTCCAACGATGCGACCAAGGCATTCCAACAAACCGTTTGCATTGCAGAGGTCAAGTTCCGCGTTTTTTCCTCGCTCTGCAGCTGTCATCGACCTTTGAAATATCATCACCCACCACACATTTTCTTTGAAGTTCTTATCATACCGGAGTGGACTTTGTTCTCTTTCCACGGGTGAGCTCCTAATATTATGAATGAACCTCTTTGCGCAATTGTGAACTCTGTTAAGGTCTTCTGTAAGCTGTATTGCTCTAAAGAAAGCGTGTGACAATCTTTCTCAGGCTCGACGTGTGCAACTGCTAACACTTCTCGCGGTACTTTGGCTTTTGCTTGCGACTCGAGAGATGTTTGAACAAGTATCTCTGCTGTCCACTTTGTTTCGTCGTCGAGCTGATCTCCTCTGCTGCCTAGGGGCTAGGTCAGCTGGATTCTTTTCTTTAGGAACGTGGTGCCACTTGATATCTGAATGATCTTATATCTTTTCCACATGATTGTCTACAAACTGGCGTTACTCTCCAGCACACTCTATATCCAATAGAGGGCAACGCTGCTGTCCAGCCAACAATGCTGCTGTCTAACTCTCTCTTTAACGATCACTTTTATAACATGAGATTGGCTGTCATATGGCCTGCGACCAACTCCAAACGTGGTATGGTGAGACCTCTTTTGGCTAGGCGTGCATTCGCTGCCACTAACATCTGGATGGTTTTGGAATCTTGTTTGGTCAGTGCGTAGACTCCCTGCTTGCTCGCGACTCCGAAGCCGTGAAGGTGTATGTCTGTAATTGGTTCTCGGTATGGTGCCATTGGCCTCGAAAATGTCACCACAGCAAAAAGAGACTGTTCCCATAAGGACCATCGTTTCCATTGAACTCAGAGCACCGAGTGTTCTATTGATCTCTATGACATCATCAGGTCGTGTCTCCTCCCACTTGTCATCATGGGCTGACAGGACTACCCAAGAAGGAATGTGGACGATGCTAACCCAAAGACAACCTCTCCCCTATAACACAGCGAAATTACCCTGGGTACGAGGTTGGCCCAAAGAGCGTCCTGGTGAAGCGGAGAGTTTGGATGTCTTCATTTCCTCTTCTCCAATGAAACCGAAGGGCATCTCTTTCGGTAGATCTTATTCGAATTTGTAGAAGAGCTTGCTTAATATCTTCACTTAAGGCCACGGGCTTCACAGGGTAGATTCTGTAAATACGTCCCTGGATAGAGGCAGTCGTTCAGCGATTGGCTGCTTGGTTTCTCCCTGGCCGAAGCATACCAATCATCCGACGATCGTTACAGCTGTTCGACAGCTAGGGTTGTTGACGAACAATACTTCACTTTTATTAACTCTTGTCAAGGTCACATCAAGATTGTAGTCTGAGTCATGTGCCTCCACATTTGCGTTCATTTTTGGTCTTCCCATTGTATACAGTTATAGAAACACGCTTTTTGACCAATCAGCACGCGCGTATTATAAATGTTATTCTATAAATTAATAATGTTAAAAAAAGTCTATCGGTTCTCGACAATATCACTGTACACACGATATAAGTATAAGAATTTTAGCCATCGACTGCAATCACAGAATAAAACAACATTTGAGTCTTTTTAACGCGGATATGGACGGATAGCGACGGACGGACGGATGGATGGACGGACGGACGAACAGATAACTTACTTTACGATAAAAAGATTTTAAACGTCATATCCGCGTCATACCCGATTGGGTAATATAATTGATATACATTAGCTGTCATTTTCACACATATTATTAAGCAGTTTTCTTAAAAGCCTCGAGTCCTTTCTGATTCATTTCGACTTTCGACTTTCGACTTTCGACCTCCCTCCCCAGCGTTATACTATTGGAAAGAATCTTAATTAGCGTGGCATGCATAATGGCAATGAAGACTATTAGTTCCGGGCGTCACGTCCAAAAAAACAGTCCTCATACGGGCCCCTAAATGATCTAGATATATATATCGATCAGTCAACATAACCAGAAATTTAGGACATTAATTACCATAATGCCTTGAATATAATAATCATCATAATGAAAGATGGCTGCTTTGTTATAGTTGAATTATATAAGATTTGTTGAAATTAAAGCAACTTCCGTCTTACATATTGCAGTTGCCGAGTTCGATTCAAGACGAGCAGAAACTTGGCACTTTTATGACAATTTTTTCATATTTTTATCTTACCTTTAACAGGTTCCCCAGTAATGTCATCTCAGCAACGCTTTAGCTCCTTGAAATATAATGGTTAGCAAGTTGCTGAAATAACATTACTGGGGAACCTGTTAAAGGTAAGATAAAAATATGAAGCCGTCTTAAATAGAACTCGGAACTGCAATATGTAAGACAGAAATTGCTTCAATTTCAAATTTTGTCTCTTATATAATTCTATTATAACAAGGAAGCCATCTTTGATTGCGAAATCTTGGCATTATGGTAATTAATGTCCTGAATTTCTTGTTATGAAAAGAAAACATGCAAATAACAGCTAGGACGCTCAAAAGAAACAATTCAAAGTTAATATACAGGCAAATTGACTTTCTATATTTTTCTCAGTTTGTTCCTCCCAAATTTTCTCAAATATCGCAATTTATCTTGATCTGTTTGTATGACCTTTGCAATATTGTATTTTTATGTACTTACCGCATGACATGTACGAACCTGAAATTTTAGGAAGTATTAAAATATTTAATGCACTGTCATGTTTGTCTCTCTATCGCCCACATATCGACAGCATAGTTATTGTAAAAGATTGTAATATGAAACAGGTAGCTTTATAAACGGGATCAGTTTGACTGAAGCATCGCTTTTAATTCCTGAAATTCATCACGCTTTTTATAGCATTTACTTGAAATTTCCTAGTGTAAATCCGCTGTTAACTGTGAGGTGAATGAGAGCTAGACGGAAGAATTTGATTCATAATGATTTTGTTGACTTAGAAGCGACGTCGCTATAGAACAAATTGACCCGTCGACTTTTAGTTTGATTAAGGCTCTATTTAATTAGGGTGTAGACAAAAGGCGGGCGCTGACTGGCGGAAGCGGACTGGCGGACCGGTGGATTCTCACTGGCGGACGCGGACTGGCGGACCGAAAACGGTTATTTTATTAATTATTGTGTTATTAATGATTACATTATCACTTAACAATATTATTATACTTTTTGCTAATCATTAAATCCACTATTTTCTATATATTCTATGTGCTCTGGTGACAGGCTCTAATTCCTTATGGTATTTGCACAAGAGAGGGGGCAAAATATGGTTGTCTTTTCGTTAAGCATTCCCGGGAGTTTCATTTAACTCTCAGGTTCCATCATATTAGGGTCTATTCGCATAAGGCATAATCACTAAATCCCAAGGTCCGGGAATGTTTACTACCGTGGCACGTAAACAGTGGGTACTTAAAGAAAAGACAACCATATTTTGCACCCTTTCTTGTGCAATACCACAAGAAATTAGAGCTTGCCTGTTACCAGAGCACGTAGAAATTTAGAAAATAGTAGATTTAATAATTAAAAAAAAGTATAATTAATATCAATAAGTAATAATGCAATCATTAACAACACAATAATAAATAATATTATAATATAACCGTTTTCAGTCCGCCAGTCCGCGTCCGCCGGTCCGCGTCCGCCGGTCCGCGTTCGCCAGTCCGCTTCCGCCAGTCTGCGCCCGCCTTTTATCTACACCCATTTAATTATGGATGTGATAACAAAAGCTATGGTAAAAAATGTTAATCAGGTATAGAAATCGACCAACATACAACAATTTTAGTCTCACAAATGTGATATTATGCCAAGGAACTTTGCTGTGTTCAGCACGAATTTTTTGACAGGATTCCGAAGTTTTCGATTTAATAGTGACCAGCTTGTACCAATCATGACCGTATTTGTTTTGACATTCAAACTATTCATGACTAAGTCCACATGTCATTCATTACTTATAGGAAAGATTCCTTGCATCAGCAAATACTAGCAACGCAGACAAGAAGCGACAATATGAAAGGAAAATCCGCTTTTGTTACACTGTTTGTCATCCTATCGATACAATGGAGCATACAGGAATCGTTGTGCGGCAGTAGGTATCTGTTATTATAGAGGTCTCCCGCAATATTTTTTATATATAAAACTAGTCGCATCAGCTCGATCTTTTCGATCTCGTTATGAAATACTTGTAAATCTCTATTTTATAACATTTTGAACCCCCACTTTATAGCAATAAAGTATATACGATGCGTATAATTATAGCGTATCTAGGTATATCTACTATGTATTCCGCATATACAGAATTATGAACGGTAAATGCGGTCGTCTGGTGTATGTCGTAACTATACTCGTAACTTTAATACGCGCTGGCGATTCAAACCAAATCGTAATTTGTATCCCTATATACATAAAGTCAATTGAAACATATCCTAAATGCGGATAACTATTCTTATTTATTCAATATAAGTGTATCTATCTATTGATACCATATACTTTCACTTTAAACGTCAACTTCAGTTTATAAACGCCATTGCTGAAACGCAGTCTAGACAGTCATGCATTCTTGGCTTATTACTCGTGCTCTAGGAGGGCACGAGTCTAGGTTTCGTCGTGTGTCGGTCGCGTTTTGGACCTCGATGACCCAGAATGCATTGCGCACTTGACCCAGTAATGTATGACGAAATGTAATTATTCGACAATACAAGCCACTTTTACAAACAATACGGCAAAATATATTGCACAGAAGACATTACTACGGTGCGCGATGTATATTACGAGATATAATTATCCGACAATACAAACCACATTTTACAAACAATACGAAGGATGCAAAATATATATGCACAGAAGACATTACTACGGTGCAACATTTAATGCATATTCCATGGTGCGATGTATATTTTTAAATTCCTATATGAAAGCAAGATACATGATCGATGTTTTCGCAGTTTTAGACCTACAAATGCTTATAAGCAATCACACTTATTAATACCTAAATGTTTGAACCGTCGACTGACATTACGAACAATGCGAATCAATACTATTACAACTAGATTTTTGAAAGCTTTCGTCGAAACTAAAACACTGCAGTCTGCAGTCAATATATAATAGAAGCATTGACACAGTAATATGTCACGCCGTGCGGATTGTTTATAGGCTACCTATAATCGGCATTTGTGAATTGTGATAATAATGTAAATGTATTATTTTATACTTGTGTGATACATTTTTGTCGTGTAAGTTCTCCCAGGCCTAGGGTAACCATAAACCCTTAACTTACGCTATAGGTTCCCACAACACGCCATGATTGTGTCCCTCAAGTAATGCTATTAAATCCCTAAAACACAATCCCTAGAGCACGAGTGTACGCCTAAGCCGGCGTCTTGTTTGTATATTGCGGTCGGCTAATTTGCAACTGCATGCCACGGTGGGTTGAAAAAAGTAAAAAGAGTCGAACTTCATAAAAACAAGTTGTCATACTAAACGGCGTGTTAGTACAAAAAATATTATTTCAATTATTAAGTCAACTGACTGCGATGCGATTAAAATGTTTCATTAGTTCGCCGTTGCAGTTTAAAGGTTAATTGCTTAAACGCGAATTGGCAACGCGGCGCGAATTTTCAACGTTTTATATTTTTCAAAAGCAAATAAATTTTAACTTATCAACAATTTCTTGTAGATTACATAAAAATAATATAGCTACACTTATTGTATGCTCCCGAGGGAAATAGTGAGTTTTGATTTCCCAAGAGTCTGAATGTTTCCCGAGACGGAGTCGAGGAAAATATTGAGACTCGAGGGAAAACGAAACTCACTATTTCCCGAGGTGTAGCGAACGTTAAGTGTTTTGTTATATAGGAACAAGACATATTTGTTACACGACAATTTCATTTCAAAAAACTTTGTTATGATAATATGCGGGCAACAATTTTTCACTTGTTTCCCTGGCGGGAAACATTGCATTTATTTAAAGTCATGTGACTATACGAATGAACCAATCACATTTAAAATACACAGCACCTATATAACAATACACTTTGACTGCTCTATAGCGTCCATAGATTCCAAATTTTGATCCCAGAATTTAATTTATATGCTTCTTAAAACTGAAAATTCGCTTCGCATTGCCGCTTCGCGTCCAGTCTGTGTCGACCTTAATGCGGCCACCGAAAATTATCGTCGCGTATACGATATCCTTTCTGAACACAGTGGGCCCAAAACCAATTCCTTGCGAATTCGGTATTAACATGAAGGTTTGATCTTTTTTGATATTTTTACGAACCAGTAAATCTCTTTGTATTTTGATTCAGAGTAAATCTCTTTGTATTTTGATTCAGATTGTGTTTCGCATTAACGATTTTCGTGTACAATCATATAATAATTGCTCAGTTCCGGTTCCAAGCTAATTTTAAAATTGTACTGTGTCTGAATTCAGTGAATTCTACTATTTAGCTTTTTGAACACCCGTCGATGCTAAATTAAATGTGCGCATGCAGAGTGTTTGAGAAAACAGTCTTTCAAATTCGAAAAAATCTTGACTAAAAATCTATCTGAAGCACAAGCAAGGAATAAAGAAAATAACACTGAGATGGAACACTCTCTTATGTATATAAAAATGTTTATTACAAAGTGTACGTATATAGTGATATGTATAGCAGTACGTCACCAGACCTTGCACTAGGCATGGAAGAACTATAAAAAATTATAATGCATTCATAGTAGAATGCGGCGCAAGTTATCACAGTGATGAACTTGCGGTACTATACTTTATGGTACTATATATATTTCAAACCACTTTCAGCGATGGCATGTGCATATATATTAAACAAGATGCCCGCTAGGCATTAACCTCGCGTGCATGACTCATGAGGAGCGTCGGCTATTATAGTCATCGACATTCAGTGTTTCAGCATGCCCACCGGGGATGCGCATATCACTAGGGATCTGAGCATGGGGATACCCAAAACACGGGGATGCCCATATCAACGTGACAGCGAGACTCCTTGCTGGCTGAAAGCGAAACGCTGAACCATCAGGAATTGTCGACAGCACGTTGACCGTCTCCTCGCCTTTCTCTGCGATTACATACAGCTCCCTGGCGAGTCAAGGGATTATCGATAGCACGTTGGCTATCTCCATGCCTTTCTCTTCCATTGCATAAAGCTTCCTGGCATGTCAAGGAATTGTCGACAGCACGTTGACCGTCTCCTCGCCTTTCTGTGTTACATACAGCTCCCTGGCGAGTCAAGGGATTGTCGTTGAAAAACAAACGAAGGATACTAGGATAGCCATATTTCTCAAAGAGCTTGTCGAAATTGCTCGCTATTGATCAGGAATAGAGAAGCAATGAGATTGAAAACAGCAGGGTGAGCCGGCGAGCAGATCATGCGTCGTGGCCATCACGCCACGATCACGCGCTTAATTTCGCATTCAGTTTTATATATGGCGCTTAATTTCGCATTCATTCAAATATGGCGCCGGATCTTGGCCTCAACTGGCCTCAACCAATAAAATTCTCGACACGACAGAAAAATAAACGCTGGGCAAATTAAGACCTCGCTGCGCTACGCACGCGAGGTAATTATTGATAATGTTCGGCATTATGTCAATTTTATTTGACCTTTGTTTTGCCATTTAGTAAACAGAAAGTCCGTAGTTGATATAGAAAGAAAATAGTGAAGTACGAAAAAACCCGAAAACTTGTCAGAACCATTATCAAGCGCACTAATCGTATTGTTTTCCCTGTACACTTCCATTGAAATTATTAAAATACACTTAATTGTTATAATGCGGGAGAACTGAAATCTTCTGACTCGATGGCTTGGTTAATAATTAATTATTCTATTCCGTGCATCCAGGGGCCGGTTGTTCAAAAGCTGCGGTTAGCTTAACACTTGGTTAAATAAAATCTTGACATTAATTTTTCAAATCGCTTCTTTACAAAGATGAATATCTTTTACTATAAATATTTTCTGGACCAATAAAAGCCATATTTTGTAAAGGTTTCAAAACGAACAGCGGTTCAGAAGCGCTTAACTCTAAACTAAAACACTGGAATAAAATTTAGCCAATAAGGCCAAGGGTTAGCGGTATAACCTAGTTTTGAACAACTGGCCCCCTTAACACGAGGATGATTCAGAGACAATGAAATACGGAATTTGGCAAATATAGAGGCTGAACTGCATGGGTTTAAACATTGGCTTCTAAACCCCCGTTTACGCTACACTCAATTTATTGGCACATGCAGCACGGCTAAAATGGGTACCCGTGCCCATTTCAGTTGTGTTCGACCTTTGTTTTGGTAGCCTGAACTCTAAGAAAATTGGGTACGGGTACCAATTTTAGCCTAGCTGTGCCGAGTGTAGTGTAAACGGGCTTTAAAACGGTTGAACAGAAACATGTTAATTGGATGAAATCTTGGTTACATGCCAATTTAAACTTCCCAACCCGTTAAAGGCGCTTAAAATTTCGCGAGCGGTCTACGCATGAAGGGTTTCAGTATTGGTTTATATGGGAAACAATAGCCTAATAATCTGGACCAAAAATCTTCTTACCTTGTGATTTCACTAACTACTGAGGAAATCTGCTGTAATCGTATTCCAATAAATTTGCTAACAATTTTATTACATAGAGGAGGCAAGAGCACCTCCAGGTGGATGCTGCCCAAAGCGATTTATTGCAGATTGTTGTCCGTTTGCGGGCGATAATGAGACAATCCGCCCTTGTGAGGACCGCCCTACATCCTCTGCAAGCTCCAGCAGGGGGGTTTTAGGTGGCCTGTCATTTGACCCAAGGATTGCGTGCGTCCATTCCTGGAATACTCAGGCATGCGCAGGTGGATTCTTCCTGAATTCGACAACTAAGAAACCCCAACGCTGTCCACGTGGTACGTATTACCATAGACAATCCAGGAGACATGGCCTGGAAACGCTATTGCTTTTGCACGAAGTTTTTTTTTATGATAATTTAACTTTGTTTAACGTAAAACGATGTTGGAAGATGCGATGTGTGCGCAGTTAGTTGATTTATTGTGTCAAACATATTAAAGTATAATATATTAAATATATTATATAGTCAAATATATTAAACTAAGTTTCATTTCACCGGAAGTAACGCTTGCGATTTTTTCCTCCTTGTTGCTTACAGTTTACCAAAGTGTCCATTGTTTGCAGTTTACTAAAGTTTGTCAACTTTAGAAACATATGTCGAAACAATGCCAAGAAGAATATTCCTAGCATGCCCAGATAAATATGATAAATTTTTCAGAAAGTTCGTAATATTCTCAACCACTCGACCTTGCGGTGTTTTGAAACAACGAGAAATCAGTTTTGAAGTCTGTAATAATTTTATAGGGTTCTTTTGCCCTCATGATTTTCTGTGCATTATTCCATGTCCATCCGGCGCCTATTGCATCCCCAAAAAGAAGCGTAATGAAACCGTAAGTATTGCATTCTTAATATTCTTACCTAAATGATCACTTTGTGGGGACACCACATGTATAATGTATTCATGATATGCAAATAAAAAATTCCATGGTTTTCCTACAAACTGGTGATTTAATAAATTAAGTCGTAAATATTCCAATGATTTCAGAAACAAGAAGGACTGCGTGTGGTCAAAAATTTTCAGTTAAAAATTGATTTAAACTTTTCACTTCACTTTCGCTTTTACTAAAATTTTTCGCCCTCTTTAAAAACGGTTTGGCCTCGAACCTTTTTATGGTTTCAGTCCGGTTTTCCCTCTTCCGGACCTTGCAGCCGGTAAATAACATATATACCATGTAGTAAACGTCTAATCACGGTGGGGTGGCCTGGGGGTTATTAAAATATATATATTTATCAAAATACTCTCAACAAAACCTAATGTGTTCGTGAAATGGTGAACTAACGTGTTCGTGTAATCCTGAATATAGAAATAACAACTAACTACGTGGAACAAAAGTATTTATTGCTATTGTTCATCTGACCGTGACACGTGTTAATAGATGAGACTTACGTCATTGGCTAATCTGAATATTAATGTTTATCTTAACGCATTATGTGCTTACTTTGCCTATTTTGAAATCGACAGGAAAAAATGAAATGCAAGGGTTTCGGTGTTTGCTGTGGCAAGAACGACCCACCTCTTATAATGAATATAACAGGAGTGAAAAAATGCATTGGTATTAAGGATAAGAATTGCGCGTGTGGTGGAACATCAAAACCTGAGCCTTGTCCTGGTGGCTATTACTGTCCAACAACTGATGTTAAGATTGAGTGTAGCTCCGGTCACTATTGCCGTCCAGGAAGTGTTCAACCGGATCCATGTCCGGTAAGCATGTCCATTTTGAACGATTCAGGTTTATTTCAAGCAGTAAGCTCTGAATGAATGTGAAGTAGGAATTTCTAGCAGTAATTGACCTACACAGACCACCTAGCCTGTAAATAACGTTAACGTACATTTATTTATTTATGCGCCTGCTGTGCCTGTGACCTAATCGCTCCCCTTCATGTTCACCGATAATACGATGAAAATTTGAATGAGCTTTTGTTAGGTTTTTTGACTCTCAACTTGATATTCATTCTCTTTTTCTAGTGGCTTACGGATTGCGATAGAGGAAGTTCAGCTCCAATCGCCAACTTCATTGCTCCTTTACTGAACCTCATCGTCTTAATCATATTCATATGTCTCGTTCTACTTTATCGCAATAAGCAAACGGTCAAATTTTACTGGGGATTATACTTCGCCCCTCGTAAAGGAAGGGAACGCTCCTCAACGAGAAGCTTTCATGTCAACGAAGGTATAGCTCATAGTACTATCAAACTTGGAAACCTTGGAGACATGGATGATACTGATGAGGATATTAAGCCAAAGTCGTATACAATCGACATCAGCTTTGAGAATCTCGGTTTGACTTTGAAAACGGTAAGTTGTGCAATCTTTTCCGGAAAAGGGGTATCGTACGTATCACACTAAACTCTAATACCACTCGAAGGATATAACTCAGAGGAAGAAAATACTTTCATTTCCATTTAATTAAGTATAAAGCATGAAATATTTCACTGGGTTTTTTTCAGTGGCGTAGCCAGCCTGACGATTTAGTCATGCAATGCAAATTTTATGTTATCATCATTATTCATTTCTTTAGAAATTCATTGTTTTCACACTCAATGAACACCAAAATATTAGCATAGCATGACTAAATTGTCGGGCTGGGTACGCCACTGGGTTTTTTACGTTCAAAACATCATGAAATGTGATAAATTATATTATTTACTTTTAAAATTAATAAAAAAGATTTTGGACGCACATTTGAACGTATAACCATACAAAAATCATGAAATAAGCCTAAGAGCATGTAAAACAAATATTTATAGACTTTTTACAGTCATGGTAAACTGAATGTAAATTAACGTATTCCGTTGTTTTAAAATCATTCGTTAAATGTACCTGGCGTTTCAGCAAAGAATGGCACGATACACTTTTGGTTCGATACGGTTTTGCATATTTTTGTCCAATGTTCAAGGTTATTAAGTCCATTAGTTCAAGGTTAAATTACCTCCTCGCTCTTTTTGAGCTGTTTGCTTAAAAACTTCATTTTACAGTAGCGCAGACAGCCTGACGATTTTATCCCGCTATGCAAATTTTAGGTTAATATCTTTATTCATTTCCTTAGAAATTCATTCTTTTCACAGTGAATGCCGGACTGTGATTATTAGCATACAAAATACAGTAGTCCCCCGCTAACTCGAACTCGCTTAACTCGAACTCCTCGCTAACTCAAACTAAATCCAATTCCCCTTGAATTTGACAGTGTTTTTTATAGTAATTTACTCCGCTTAACTCGAACTCCTTCGGTTAATTCGAACAATTTTTTCCCCGGGTTGAATGTATCCGGTTAACTCAAACTTTGATTTCGAATCATAGATCAGCAAACTTTAAAATGTGAGAAAATAGCATTTTGACAACTAGAAACTATCGAAATAACAACAAGTTAATCGGTGTATGAATGTATAACTGATTTTAAGTTTCATAAGATATTTTGAAGTGTCACGGTCTTTATTGATCTAGTTTTTTTTATTTTCTTTTGTATTCTTTCGATCTTTTTAATTTTAAAACGTTGTCCGCTCTCGGTGACCATTCATATTGGTAGGTATGATATCTCTTGAAGATTGATTCGATAGGACTTTATACCTTATTGTATTACTTAAAATAAACGTATAATCTGACACCAACTGCGGTTAACTCGAACCCCCGGTAACTCGAACAATTTTTCTTTCCCCTTCGGAGTTCGAGTTAGCGAGAGGATACTTTATTAGCATTGCAGGGCTAAATTGTCAGACTGCATGGCTGCGCCATTGTAATTTCGGCTTAAACTTGAACTACTCCAACCAAAATCCTTGTGACGAATTTCGATTGTTTTTAAAAGATGTAGCTAATTTCTAATGTAGTGAAATATATTTTGTAGGCAAAGGATAATGGTAAAGTTGTGTTAAGTGGAGTTACAGGTCATATAAATTCCGGTGAAGTAACGGCTGTCATGGGACCTTCCGGGGCTGGAAAAACAACATTCCTCAACACGCTCAGTGGCAAGGCATACTACGGGGTAATTTGTACTACCAAGCTTATATAGCGAACTTGGGTCATCAATTTGTAGAAGACATCACGCGTGTATTCGTTATAGGCAGAGCTTTCTGTCTGTTAATCGTGGCCTCCATCACTGCAACTAACTCCAGTTTACCAAAATCTAAACGTTACTTCTTATCACGGTTTGCAAAGTAACCCAACTGTTCCATCTATCTTGCAGGTCGCTGTTGTATGTTGTCATTATATAGTGTATATTTACCTAAGATCATATCTAGCACATATACTGTACATCGTTAAACATGACCAAAAATAAACTTTGTTGCCGTGCGAAAGCCTTGTTTTAAAACGTTTATACATTATCAGCCGATCCTATTAGTCATAACGAAAAACCGTTTTTGTGATCCAGCCATAGCCATAGCTAGAAGCTTAATTGGGGTCTGTATATTCGTAAATTCATCTTATGCCTGACTGATTTCTTTTGTACGCTATTGTTCCTGCGGTAGATAAACATGAATATATGAATATACCCCCCCCCCAATTAAGCGGTCTAGCTACGGCCCTGGATGCAGCTTTTCAAACGAGTAGATGCCCCTCGGAACCGTTCAGCAACAAGTGATTAAATTTATTGTATATTTTTTATTTTAGAATGCCAGAGGGAAAATAATGTTTAACAACAAATTGGTAAAAGGAGTAAAGAAACTCCGAACAATCACCGGATTCGTTCCTCAGGTGTGAACCGTGAACCCCTTTTTCTTTTAAAAATCTGCATCATCATCGTCATCGTCATCATCGTCATCGTCATCACCATCTGCCTGATCAGATGTTTATCCGTGCAAGCAAGCTTAGTTTTTCACTCTCTTACTTTCTATAGGAGGACACGATGCACAGGAATTTGACAGTCCGTGAAATTTTGTTTTATCAAGCTAAGTTACGTTTACCTGAAGGAACCGATTCTAACACCATTGATAAAAAGATACATCAGGTAATGTTGATGTGTTCACGATGATGATGTATAGATGCCAGGGGCATCCCGATAAAATATCCGGCAGAACTGGCGATTTCTTGCCGCTTCAATATCCATTATGAGCCGATGGTAACCGGGACAGGCCCTGCCGGAGAATGCGCGAAAATGGGGCATCGGTTTCATGCATCTGAAAATTTGCATTTTCGCTGAGCATTTTGAATAAATAATTAAGTCACGTTTTCGAATCCAACATTTCGCTCGAGAACGTTTGCGAAGTTTTAGAAATACCCATTTTCCAATTAGAACTGCCTTGGCTTTGGGCGATTGAGCTCTAGGACACGCAAAAAAATTTTGACGCTATTTTGTTCACGATTATATAAACAGGCGTAAAATTCGTACTTGGTACGGTTGACGTAAAATTAAAATAATTGAAAATTCCAGAGACGTCGCCGTATATGTCTAGCGCAGAAAACCTCTGAGTAAGGTTACTAAGAAAGGTAAATTTATCCTGTTATTTAGACACTCCATATTCTAGAAATTTTGCATGTAGCAGATTCCCTTATTGGCGACGAGGTAAGTGATATCATTCATGTTATCAAGGTTTTCACGCGAATATTCAGCCTTTTGGCAGAAACTAGGCTCTTGCATGAATTGAAGTGAATGCCTAATAGGAACTATTGTTTATTTTACGTATTCCAGATCTAAGATTTAGGTCACGTGAAATCAGTGTTCCACAAACTTTTTCTACCCGATATGTCCCAAATACTTAGTTCTTAACGATACATGTGCATACGTCTAAAAGACATTTCCAAAGTGTCGACCAAACCTTTTTATACAGCGTGTATGTAGCTTGGATATGAGGATTTTCGTCTTCTTGATTATATCAGAATTAAGATTAACTTAATTATATCCAAAATGAAATCATCCATCACCCAACGGCTTTTTTAACCCACATAACTAAGCCAGCATGCATGAAACGTCGATCACGTATATGATCATACCTAAACTTGTAGGAAGCGCGAGGTATTTCTGGTGGACAACGCAAAAGAGTAAACATTGGAATGGAGTTGATTGCAGATCCAACATTGTTGTTCCTTGATGAGCCTACAAGGTTCGGAATTAAACATTTTTCATGTCATGGATTGTTAGGTTGCTATATGCATTTGCTAAAAACCCACTATTATCAGTCAGCTTGACATTAACAGACAGTCATACGTGAATAGCAAAAGGCAAACACACGAAAATTTAGTTATTGTCGGGTGGTTATACAATAAATAAGAGCTATTGTTATATAGGTGCTGTATATTCTAAATGTGATTGGCTCATTCGTAGTCACATGACTTTATAAAAATGCAATGTTTCCCGCCAGGGAAACAAGGGAAAAATTGCTGCCCGCATATTGTCATAAAAACGTTTTTTGAAATGAAATTGTCGTGTAACATGCATGTTTTTGTTCCTATATAACAAAACACTTAATGTTCGCTACACCTCGGGAAATAGTGAGTTTTGTTTTCCCTCGAGTCTCAATGTTTTCCTCGACTTCGTCTCGGGAAGCATTCAGACTCTTGGGAAAACAAAACTCACTATTTCCGTCGGGAGCATACATTAAGTGTATATTATAATCCCCGAGCCGGTGCGGAGCACCGTGCGAAGGTGCTAATTCCGCTCGGATACTTACACCCACGATGTGAAAATGCGAAATCAAAGTCGTCCGCCATTATGCAATGGACCTCACGCCATTGATGGTCTTCTACGTTATGCGCATGCGCCAGTGTGAGCTACCAAACTCCTGATTGGTCGAGAAAAATTTATATTTTCAAACGTCAAGGAATAACTGTCGTTCAGCAAAATTTATATTTTAATAAATATGGAATATATGTATTTTTACTAAATTAGAGGGAAACTCGAATGAGGTCAGGACTTTTCACGGTTTGACAAATAACAAGACCAAATTTTCGACCGAGTTCACCGTGTATAATGATGTCGGAAGATTTTACACTTGATAATATTTCATCCGGCTATAGGCGGCCCAGAACTGATCTCGCTGACCTCGCGCGACGCTCATGTAGTCTGAACAGTCTCATATAATGACAAGGTAGGCAACTCTCACGCTAAATAAGCTAAAAACGCACGCCGGTTAACTCAAACACTCAGGGCCGTGCCGACCGATATTTTATTGGGGGGGTGTCACAAAATTTTGGGCCCCTCAACACTTTATCGACTTTTGGGCCCCCTTAAAAGTCGCAACCTATTTAATGTTTCAGTAAATCTTTTACAGTTACAAATAATTAGAATCTAACCATTGCAAGTTTAATTTTGCCCAAACGAAGGAATGTACAGTCATATCAATTTAAATAATGCGCCTGTGTTTAATTCCAGACCACGCCTTGCCAAGGTTTTGGAGATCAACCTTCTCAGCCAAATCTTTTTCGCATGCCAAAAGCATAAGAGAATCAAGTCTTTTATTGTCCATTGAATTTCTACAGCGGGACTTGACAAACTTAAGCTTACTAAAACTTACGTTTTGAATAAATGAATAAATACCCGGCTTAATTTGTCTTTAATCCTGCTTAGAATCTTTCAATATGATGAAAATGACAGACATTTGAGCCCACAGTTGATGTGATCAAAATAAGCGCAAAAAACTTCATGTAAGTCGTGCTTCAAAGGGGGAGAAAACGAGAAGAAAACGCTAGTTTAAGAAGACATTAGGGGAGAAAACCAGTTGAAAATCGAAAAATGTTGGTTATTTTCTTCATAAATATAATTATTTTTAGCTTTGTTGTTAAATCAAATAACTGAAATAAGGCAAGTTCTTCCCCAAAAGCAGGGCCCCTTAGGATTTATTTTGGGGGGGTGATACACCCCCCACACCCCCCCCACACCCCCCCAGGAGGCACGGCCCTGCAAACACTTTCATAAAACCGCAAATATTTCATAAAATTATAGCGAATAAGAAAAAAAGAGTAAAACACATTAAACTTGAATAATAATTTTTACTACATTTATACGATATTTTTAGCATTCAAATGTATTCTTATGCATGTATAAAACGTAAATGTTTTTTAGGTTTGTGGCAAATATATTTCAAAATTCATGCTGGGGACACCCAGCCATACCTTCATCATATTTTTGAATTGAAAATAGAAAGCTGATTGGCTCTTTTTCCAACTGACTAAACTCAAAACTAGCTCAACCAGTGCTAAACTATTGGACAGCTTTCCATATACGGCAAGCCCTGCCCTCCTCAGCTATATTTTTTACTGTTTTTGCAAGCATCAAATAATTTCAGAAACCAGTTCTTAGCTCAGAAGATCTACTTCATCCATCTTTTTAAAAATTTTCAGTCAAATTGGACATGGCCCTAAAGGTTATGTTTAAATCAGGATTTGTGTGTCAAAAATTCGATTTCCCTATCGATTTACTCATTAAAGTTCGACATGACACTTGCCAAGCAAGTTCGGCATGCGCACATTAGGCAAAAGACCGTGTGGCTGGATTTGGCTTCAGTTTTATATCTGTATATAGCTAATCTGTGAAAAGACTGTTCAGACAACATGAGCATCGCGCGAGGTCCTAGGTAGCCCAAAGGTATTTGTGTTTTAATCTAAAGCGTCCATCCAGTTTAATATCGCCGTCTGTGACGTAAACACCAATTGCTATATTTGTTTAATAATAAGATACAAATATAGCAATTGATGTTTACGTCACAGACCGCGATATTAAACTGGATGGACGCTTTAGATTAAAACACAAATACCTTTGGGCTACCTTGGGCGAGGTCCGCGAGATCAGCTCTGGGCCTCATCCGGCACAGCTTTTTGTGGTAAACACAACTTAAATGTTATCAAATGTATTACACTATAAATCTGAATGTGTTATGTGATAAACAACATTATAATTTCATTTATAAAGCCCGTCCTCATAATTAAAAAGAAAGAAAATCAAAACATTCCCGTGCAAAAACCAGTCAAAGCGTAAACATAAAACTTCGGAAGTTGTATGAGACGTCTGATGTTATATTTCATGGTAATTAATAATTAAAATAACTTACCATAACACTGACTATAGATTAGCAACTTAACTTCCAGAAAAAGGTAAGAATCTTGTCGTATTTTTGCCATTTTTTCACAAAAATATGACGGTAAACTTTGATTCTTTAAAAATATACGGCCGTTGCGAGTTGCTATGACTACATAGTTTCCACGTGCAGAAAAATATTTCCATACTTTTCTCAATTTCTATTTCTCACATACCATGTGCCCTCCAAAACCCCCAACCCACATAAATTTTCCAACAATCATGTTACCATCCCTACGCTTAATAATTTCATTTGACCGAGGCGAGGGGTTGCTGCATGCATGTATTTCTTGTATTATTTGTTATATCCATTAGCGTGGTTGACATATTCATATACTGCATTCATGTTTTAAATTATTCATTTCTTTTCAAATTGATTGTTTTTAAAAAACTTTTTATACCGTCTGTGAACATGATTATGAATATGTCCACGCCACTTATCGATGCTGGCAACGCCACTGGTTATAACAAATATATAATACTACTTTCTCGTGTAGTGGCCTGGATAGTACTTCAAGTTTATCTGTGTTGAAGTCTTTGAGAGCTGTTGCTGAACATGGCAAATTAACAGTCTTGTGCGTGATTCATCAGCCTCGTTTCGAAATATTCGGTGAGTGTAATTCGTCAATATTCGTATCGTGATTGTTTGATTTGAGTTCGTGCAGTAGTTTTAGGTCGCGTCAAGAGAAAGTGTGCACATGCTACATGTTTTAAATGATGTCTAAAATTTATACAAAACTTCACTCATCTAGAAATGTTTCACAACATCTTGCTTCTCGGTAAAGGAGGTAAGACGGTCTATCAAGGAACTGTGCCTGGTGCTGCCGACTATTTCTCGTCTCTCGGCTTCAAAACTCCAGCTAATGTCAACCCCGCTGACTTTTACATGGATGTAATCGGAGGTTCGGTAAATGAAAAGGACATTGATCTATTTGAAGCCTGGAATAAAAATTCTGATCATGCTGAAGGAACTGCTTCTAAAGACCGAAAGGCTACATTGTCCTGTTGTGGAGACGAGGGTATGTACGAAATAATTTTACTAAAGCACGGTTCATGTATGGATGGCACAAACGTTGAGAGGTTGTCTATGTTTAGTATTTTTTGTACTCTCTTTAAAAGAAAAATACGGAAAAATTGCATTTCTTTTTGGCCTGTTGTTTACGATTAGGTTTGGCGCACTAAATTAAAAACCGCAAAAATACCAAACTAATTCACTTTCTATACTTTGGATATAGTATTGACACGGTATTAGTGTAGCGACATGGAGAATATTTCCATAGTATGGATTTTGAAAAAAAAATTCCAATTGGTGTCACTCAGTGTTAACACAGTAATAAATAACATAAATTATTTCAAATATTTATCGTTTTCCAGTGACACGTGCGTTGCCCAACCCGTTCTGTCAATTCTTAACGTTTACTCGACGAGAGTTTTTGCTCCAGTTGCGGTTGGTAAAAACATTATTCATTGACGTTTTCCTCGTGTTCTTTGCTGGTGGTGTTCTTGGAGCATTGTACCTGGAGGTAGGATATGCCTGTTGCCGCGATCTGAAGGCGATTTTCCACTCCGCGCAATTTTTCGATCGAACGAAATTTCTTGCTCGATTTTGCTTTCAATTATCACCAGGGAAAGGAATCCGCTACGGTCAAATTCTCACAATTCAAAAGAAAATGGAGCGAAAAATTTCGTTCGATCGAAACATTCCGGCTTGTGGAAAACTGGCTGTTTGCATACCCTCGAAAATCCAAAAGGCGGACATATCATTTTACCTGTGATGTAGAATTATTCAGCATTTAGAGCAATTTCGATTTTTTAAATAATCTAATTTTCGACTGACAGGTGTCGTTGAGAAAATTTACAGCCCTCACCCGTATGAGTGGAATGGCCATAGGTCTGACATCCATGTTATCATCGTTAAGATGTTTTGGAAATCACAGAACTACGTTTTGGAGGTAATTTTATATAATATATTTTAATGTGCTTAGGGCTTCAGACAATTGTCTGGAATTTTTACTTTCGTTTTCACCGATGAAAGAATGAACAACATCATTTTGAATTCCAATCAATGTTCTATTCTTAGTTTCGTAAATACAGCTATTTGCAAGGCACCGTTAACCGTGAAGTTCATACCGCGTTTGTTTACGTTTCAAACTTCTGGGTTTTACCGGAAACGTTGAATGTTAAACTATAAACAAATCTCGTTACACAGTCATATTTCGACGGTTTTGGCAGGTTCCGCCCAACTGTCAAAATATCATAGTATAACGTGATTGGTTCATAGTTTAACATTCAATGTTTCCGGTTAAACCCAAATGATTGAAACGTAAGCAAACGTGATAAAAACTTCACAGTTAACGGTGGCTTGCAAATAGCTGTATCAGCTAATAGACCCTTTCGATAATTACGTCATTACATTATCGTTTTAGATTTAGAACCACCTTAAATAAGATGGATTTCTAGTTTTACTCTCTCGAGCCGTGTGTAAAAGTTCAAAACATATTTCTTCGACACACGCATGAAAAGAAACTTTTCATTTTGCCTTATATTATAAGTGTGCAAAAAAGCCATAACTCGAGAACGAGGTTTTCGGTCGCAGCCTGGTAGCCTCGTTTTAGTGTCACAACTTATTTCCACACTTATTTGTCAAAATTTAAATTTTTTCTCATTCATGTGTTGAAGAATGATGTTTTGCATCGTTGCACGTGGCTCGTGAGAGTAAAACTTGAAATACATTTCATTTAAGGTGGTTCTAAATTTAAAACGTTAATGTTGTGGCGTCATTATCGAATGGATCTATTAGAGGATTTTTCTGAAAGACATTGTTTTTGACCATCTGCTTTCTTTGAGAGTTGGTGCGAATTTTCTAAGGGGTGAAAATTTTGTGGTGAGGAAAAAGAGGTAGAAACTTAATTTAGGGGACGGGTGGAGCAGCCATCGGCTAAAATTATAAGAGCCTTAGACTGTTTGAACTTGTAAAACAACTATAAAAACTCCAAATGTTGCAATTTTCTGGACAACTTACAAACACGAATCCAAACATATTGTCTATTTTTTCCGTCCTCCTTACTTGAAATAAATATCACATATTATTATTTAACATTTCAGTGTTAAAAAAAACTAACATCTTTGTTTTCAATCTTTCAGAGAAAGTGCCGCAGGAGTTAACCGCGTTAGTTATTTTTTAGCAGTAAATTTTGCCCAACTTCCAATCTTGGCATTGATGCCGCTGGTGTATCTCAGTTTACTTTACACTCTCACTTCACCCAGATGTAGGTATACTATAGCTTATGGGCAAGACCTAGAGTGTATTTTAGAGAAATTAATGCTACATTACTAGTATACTATGTAGTCAACATATCCGTGGCTGTTTTAATACGCATGTAGTTTTGATCGAATACACCGGGAAGAGTTTGACATAGCTTTCCAATCGGAATATAACATCCCGAGGAGACCAGGGCTGTAGCTTAATTCGGGAGGGAGGTGCATATTCAAATACTTTTCTTATGCCCGACTGATTTCTTTAGAAAGTTATGTCCATACATTATGCAAACCGGAATAAATGAATATACTCCCCCCCCAATAAAAGGGTCCATTTCCGACCTTTTTCGGATTTTTTTACTGCTGCGCGAAGCATCCGCACATAATACATGTATGCATAGTTAAAACAAGGAAACTCGATTATTCATTGCTGACTCATTTTTTTGTTATTACGCTAGATAGTTCACAGTTGAAATATATAACGCAAAGTTTTATTACTTCCTCTTCAATACGCTACTTGCATGCATACCCGGACGCGATAAACAAGTCTCAGTTCCTCGGTGCTATTTTTCCTGTCACTCATTTGCGAGAAAATCTCAAACATTCTTTATAATTATCCCCTAGCCTACTTCGCAGCCCATTATGCCGGAGTTTTCTGTGCTCAATTATGCTGTTCTGGTATTGGTTATGCCATTTCAACGATATTTAATCCCAAGAGTTCTCAAATGGCCTCAGTAGTTGTCGTTTTGGTCATGGCCATGGTGTCAGGTGAGTAAGATATCAATCCGGCATTAATGAGGCGAATAAATGAATACCCAGATGACCTGATTATAAAAGTCAACCAATAAGAAGGCAGATCCTCGACAAAACTGAATTATTGTTTCCTTCATCTGATCTGACTTTAATGCTTGGAGATTTTAAGTATTTCTATTATTTTTAACCCAACTGTAAATTATAATTTAAAATTTTCGCCTGTCATGTTTTTGTTTAAAAAACGGGAACAAATAATTTCAAGCGTATGATAACTCTTTGTCGAGCCGCCTCAGGACGTCATGCATTATCTCAGGTCAACTGGACGCAATGAAATTTTTGCAACTTACAATGCACGCATTTCTGCTTTTGAGAGGTCTCAATTTGGTAATTACAAAACCTTTGCTATTCACACTTCATTTGAAAATTCTTCGACGGAACGAAATTTTTCCTCTAATAGATATTATTTTTAATTTTGATAATTCGACCGTAGCGGATTCGGTCACAATTCAAAAGAAAGTCGAGCGAAAAATTTCGTTCCATCGAAAAATTTCACTTAGTGGAAAACTGGCTTAACACGACCTTAATTCTTCGCTCGCTTTATGGGAATATAGGTTCCTCTCCAACATTGTGTAAACTTGATGAATTGAAATTCTTTGGACCACTTGGTTATAACCTATCTTACATCCGATGGTTTGTTGAGGCCATGTTCGAGAAAGAAGCTTTACGATATCCAGACGTTGTTCGACCAGTACGAGATGCAATTGCGTTCTCTGACCATTATACCTTGGATGACAATTATGCTTTCTGTTTAGGAATGATACTTCTCATGGCTGTAGTGTACCGCGTGATTGCGTTGCTTTTCTTGCTTTTTACTAACCGTGGAAAGCAGCAATAGATTAAAATAATTTCGCAAAAAGCATCATAAATTGTACCACATAACAAAAAATTTTTGGAATGGTTTAAAATATTACGCGACAAAACAAAAATCACGCATAAATTATATGAAGCTTCCTCATATTTTCATATTCATGAAGCTAGTTCACATTTTATACTAAACTTTGTATTTGTTTATTATTCATTTCAAAAGAGATCCACCATTCAATTTCATAAAGAAAGATGTAATATAATCATTAGCATAGAGTAAATAATTCACCATTATACAAATTATTAATATCATATAGTTCGAGTATATTGAATATATTAAATGATAATGTTATGGCCGGTGATCGAAGAATATAGACTTGTTCTAGGTCGACTATAGTCTATTTATTATTCACTGTATATTATATAATCTCCGTTTTGATTGGTTAGCCATCTACAAATTTATTAATTCCTCGTATTCTGTAATTGTGACGTCTAATTTATTAATTTACTAATTTATTCGACATCTTTACTGCCACTTAATCAGGTGAATAATAAAATAAATAATAACTGATTCGGCTTTCGCGTGCTATTGAGAATTATTAAGGCCTCTTTTGGCGTTATCTCCCTCACGGCTTTGGCAGATAACGCCAACCTCTGCCTTAATAATTCTCAAAATCACGGTCAACTTCTTTCATTTATAATCCCCGAGCCGGTGCGGAGCACCTAGCGAAGGTATTAATTCCGCTATGATATTTACACCCACGATGTGCAAATAGCAATCAAAGCCGTCCACCATTATGCAATGGACCTCACGCAGTGGACTGTCTCCTCGTAATGCGCATGCGCTAGTGTGAACTATTCAGCTTTTGATTGGTCGAGAGAAAAATTTGTATTTCCTTGTTTGGCAAAAATTTTAGAAACTCTAACTCCCTAAGTACATTTACGTTCTCTGGCGCAGCTAGCACTAAAATATCCAAGATGCTAGCTTTTTCAATTGTAGGAATTTTTTTATTAATAACAGCCCAAAAAAGGCAAAAAACGATTTAATCAGCCTCAGTCAAAATATGGACGGTGTTGCACAAGCTGTGAAAGTCGGTTTCAAGAAATTTGGTACACGCGTAGGCCAACGCGAGATCTTTAAAACAGGATTTTCTACCTTTTTTGCAGTTCTAATAGGTTTCTTTGGGTGATTTAAAAAGCATTTATGAAAAGCATTCGTTCCTTGCAAAATATTCCTCTTGGAGGAACTGCCTTATCATTCGAGCGAAATCGAATCGTGCATCGGAGAATTAGTCAGAGATATCGAGGGGTGCACCACAACTCTTGGGAGACGAAACTGTGACGTATAGATGAACACGGTCACATACATTGTTCAATGTGTTGTCATGGCGGACGGTCATGAAAATTTGGGCTCAGCGATTTCAAAAAATATCAGCCAAAATTCTTGTGATTTGCCTGAAAATTTAATACAACTACAGTAGTAGAAAATGATGTAGAAAATATTACCGATGTTTCTACAATCGAAAATTACGATCCAGTTACGACGAATGTAGAAGGTCATGAACAAGTGAACCTTGAAAGTCATGAACAAACTTTGGCGGTCAGCTGCGACAGCGAGGCAAAAGGAGTGTCAATCTTGATCGGAATATTGTCGATTTAGAGAAAAGTGTTGTTAAGAAAAGAAGGAGAAAATGTGGTAGCTGCGAACCATGCCTGAGGAAAATAAATTGTGGCGAGTGTAATTGTTGTTTGAATAGAAAGACATAGAAAAACAAGTCATCAGAAATGTAAGCTTCGTAAATTCTCTAAGCTCAAAATGAAATCAAGCTGCATGGAAAACGAGTCGGGTACCGTCGCCTTTCAACACCCCGCACAGCAAGCAATTCTAATAGATAGTTCAAGTATCGAGAAATTAGGACATGCCAAAATAAATCCTGAGAAAGCGAAGGGGAAACTGCAGTCATGCTTCTGCAACGGTAAAGCTGCAGAAATTTGCATGGACACGGAGATTGCACCTTATACAAATCCCCTCTGGGACTGATGGAATTTGAACAAAGCCATACAACGGAAATTAGCACAGAGCACAATAATGTTGGCATTCCAAATGGTTCCCTGTGGCACCATTTGAACCAAAATATAATGACACAGGGAATAGAAATAATAAGCCAAATCTACCTGAATTGGATGTTATGGCGTCTGAAATCAAAGACAAAATGTGGGGTTCTATTAGTCCACAAAGTTTATGCGATCAGATTAGTAACATCTATGACGAAATCGTCCATTTTAGAAGGAACATTTTTAACATACCCCGGCAGACGGAAAAATTTCATTGCAGAGTTGACTTATTGGCTGAAGCAATTGAATTCCAATTCTGATCTCAATTCAATTGCATTAAAAGCCTTTATGGTGCTTCCATCTTTGATTCTCAAAAAGCCTTTGGCAACATCAAAGAGCAAAGAACACAGCACAAGATAAAACGAAAATTAACCTTATGGAAGCAAGGGGACTTGAATCTACTAATGAAAGAAGTGAGATTTTTACAAGATCGATTCTTATCATCAAGAAAACCCCGCACAGTAAATGATATCTCCAGAGTTTTCGCCAGATTGGTAATGCAAGGAAAACTATCCGCGGCGATTAAATTTCTGGATAAAGAAAGCTCCCCGGGTTTACTAAATCTTTCGCCGGAAACTTTGGAAGCTTTGAAAGAGAAACACCCGGCAGCCAGTGATGTAGAGGACGAATGCCTCCTAAATGGTCCCGTAGATCGAATCGCGTCCAATATTTTCGACCTCATCAATGAGCAGATGATTTATAACGCAGCTTTTAAAACCAAGGGCTCAGCTGGACCGTCTGGTATGGATGCAGACATATACCGACGAATTTTATGCTCAAAGAATTTCAGTAACGAAGGTAAGATCTTAAGAGAAGAAATATCAACGATGACCAAAAATCTGTTGAAATTATGTTACCATCCATCCCTGTTAGAAAGCTACACATCCTGTAGGCTAATTCCACTAGATAAACATCCTGGAATTCGACCAATTGGAGTGGGGGAAGTGCTGCATGCGAAGAATAATCGGTAAGACAGTAACTTCATTTTTGAGAGAGGAGATAAAGGAAGCAGCGGGGCCATTGCAAGTTTGTGCAGGATACAGTGCTGGGGCCGAGGCAGCAACACATGCCATGAGCCATGTTTTTGAGGAAGAAGGGACTGATGGAATCCTATTAATAATTGATGCGACCAATGCTTTTAACCAAATGAATAGAGCGGTAGCAATGCACAATCTTCGAATAACCTGCAACAGAATGTCCATATACATCATTAACACCTACAGATGCCCCTCCAGGCTATTCATATATAGGGGAGGTGAGATTTTGTCGCAAGAAGGTACCACCCAAGGGGATCCTCTAGCTATGTCCTGGTACTCAATTAACACAGCTATAATGATTCAAAGTTTGAGATTGAACATACCAGGAATCAAACAAGTATGGCTGGCCGATGACTCAGCGGGAGGAGGAAGATTGACACATTTATATAATTGGTATAAGCATTTGGAAGAGGAAGGAAAGAAATACGGCCCAAAATGGTCCAAAGTGTTGGCTGATAGTGAAGACGCAAGAACTGGCCAAAGAAGCAGAGCAGATCTTTGGAGAAGAAGTTAACATTACAACAGGAGGAAAACGCTATTTGGGTGCTTTTATAGGATCAAAAGAATATAAAGATGAGTATTGTAGAGAAAAAATTCAAGTATGGGTACAAGATATCTCATCACTCACGGAAATCGCGAAAAGCCAACTTCATGCAGCCTACATTGCCCTTACGAAAGCATACAAATCAAAATTTATTTTACCTACTTCATGCGAACAATTGAGGCCTTCGAAGAGTACGTAGAACCGATAAATGAAACATTGAATGACATTCTCTTACAACAATTTTTTGGTCAAGAAGAACCCCTTGCGAGTGAAACTCGTGAACTTGTGACCCTAACGCCAGCTCAAGGGGGATTAGGCGCACCGAATTTGAGAATAGAAGCTCCCTTGCAATATGTAACGTCAAAATTATTTACTAATCAACATGTAAATTCAATTAAACGGCAGTGTGGGGCTCTGGAACCGATAAAGAAGTCTATAGATGATCTGAAGCGAATGCAGCAAGCAAACAAAGCGGAAATTGCTAAGTCAATAATGGATAACATTGGTGCAATACTTTCTCCAGACCTACTGTTCTTGGTAAAGCAATCCCGAGACAAAGGAGTGAGTTCCTGGCTAAATGCGATTCCACTCAAAGATCAAGGTCTAGCCCCCAATAAGCAAGAATTTAGAGACTCGTTACGAATGAGATACAATCTAACTTTGAACGATTTACCAAGCCATTGTGCGTGTGGAGATCGCTTTAACATCAATCATGCCCTCTCTTGTAAAAAAGGTGGGTTCGTGGCACAAAGGCACCATTGCCAGAAATCGTGGACATTTTGCTCCCGCGTAATACGGTCAGCGGGTATCCACTGTAATTATTCAAACGCATGTAAAATGGCTGCTCGAAATAATAAAAAGAGAGTTCCATACAAAGTTTTGGCTAATATAAGCACATTGGACCTCGAATTTTATGAAAGAAAGCCGAAAAGAAAGTATTTTTCAAAAACCCTTGGCATTTTTGAAGTTGAACGATTGGTAACCTGCCGTAGGTTCCCTGAGGTAAGCTATACAGGTTATTGTCAGGTTATTGAATCCTCACTAGAAATTGTCCATAATTTACGACGTTTTGGAAGTACTTTAACTGTATATGGTCGTAAGTTTAAAAACAGTTTAAAAGCATATGGAGTTTTCGAAACGAGTTAGAGCTAGCCCTCTCCATCAATGGTTTCTGGACAAATCAACAAGAATTTGGCATGGTTTGTGCTATATTGTAACATAAATAAATGCTGCTGTGGAGGTAAGCAGACCGATTTATTTTAAACAAATTTTGGGTTAGAAACAAAGCAATATCCATACTAAATAGGTATCGAGTTTGAGCTAAGATTTTACTTCTTCGTAATTTTTGTAATTCAAATTTTTTTGCAATCCTAATACATTTTAAGGTGGCTCCCTACAATTTTTTAAAATATTGAAGACTTGTGATTTTGATTTAAAATTTTAGCACGAGATTTCTTGCTAAGGAAAAGAAATTTCCCAGATATATTAACCAACATTCTAACAGTCAGAAATTGCCCATAAGCATGACGTCATTACCGTTGTTATGGTAATAATGGCGATTCAATATGGCTGACATTTTACCTATTTACGCATTTTACTCGAAAACAAGTTCGGTAACCGCAATTTTTTATTTTATAAAAAGTTTTCTTAAAAAAAAATGGAAAATTTGAGCCAGTTAAAAAAATTCTATAGAGCCAAAATTATTAAAAATTAAAAAACGTGATTTTTCGTTATAGAAATTTTTTGGCTCTAAAGAATTTTTTTAAACTTG